CAAGTGCCGCCTAGGTACCCTTTAACCTCAAGCCCCAAAGTTGCTCGACACGGTGACAGCAGTTTAGTTCCTCCACGTTCTTCGCAGAGCCCGGAACGTCGTGACAACAAAATGGACAACGCTCTAGCTCGAACATACTCAAAGGTACCACCTTAAATCATCATTTTTTTAAAGTTAACGGTTGATTAAGCCAAGAACTACTTACGAGATTGCCGTAACTGCTAGATTCAATTGCGCCATCAATAATTGCGTCTTATTACCATAACGTTCGCTTAATTACTAGCCACTATTACTTGCTAAACGTGAGTGCTCGTCCCCTTAACCAAAATTCCGCGGTACCAGTAGCGGATCGTTCAACTTATTTATGCCTTAAAGGAGGTCTAGCAATAGCAATGTCCTGTTGTGGAAAGAACAAACCAGACTCGCATTTTGAAGGAAGTTCGCTTATTTGGAGGTAATCCTTCAAATTGCGAGTTCTGTACAGTCTAGTGTTCACTGTATACTATGGCATCATTCGCGTTTCTTTGCATTTATTATACTTTCTGCCGCAAAGTAAACGATGTACTCTGAAGAGTCTTCGTTTACCAAAAAAAAGTGACTCATTTTTTTCTATTACTTGTGCTTAGTTGGAGATACCTGGCTAACTGGCTTCTAATTTCCTGTGGCTTGTTTCGCACAAATTAGTAAATACGTTCTTCAGAAAGTCTTTTTTTGCAAAAACATTTTGACTTCAACGGTGCATAAGTTTTATCCTTAAGTTAAACCACCATATTTCTTTTCGCTTAATTGCCACTGACTGGTAAGGCCTTAGTTCTATGTGAATAGAAGCGAATATGCGAGTCTCAAGGTCTTGTTATAAAGTATAAAATCGTGATCTGTGGAACGGTAGTTGTATTACTTCTAGGCCAGTGCAGCTGCCATCCTATCGATTGCATTTTTTTTCTTTGCAAATCCTTTATAATCGTATGTGACCCACTTCGTTTTACGCGGATTTAATATTTTGTCTAATTCTTATTGATTTTATTGCCAGTTCTTATATTACGAAATGATATGCAGCACCCATAACTCTTTCTTCGACGTTTCATAACTTCCAGGAGTCCCTAAACGTGCTCAAAGAAAACCTAGCTCAAAATAGCAATGGCAATAAACAACTGGCGGACAGTTATGATGGATCAGATAATCCGCTGACTCACACTTACGACGCAGATGACTTGAGCGACGTGTTTCCTAGCGTTCGCGGTTCCCTTGATAGTCGTCAGAGCCACGAGACCTTCAATCCAAAACCACCTCCCCTGAATAAGTCTGCCCATGGACCCAGTACAGGACCCCGTCGCCCGACTTACAACGTCAATGCAACTTCCCACTCAACCAACCGCACGTTTGACATTCTTGAAATAGCGCGCCAAGAGGAGGACAGTCTACGTGCATCGGCGGCGCGCAGTGAACAGCGTTCGAACAGTGGCCAAAATTCTCTCCGTGGCTCGGCTGAGGTCTCCTCCGCTGCTGGCCGCGCTCAACGTTTTGCATTTTCGGAGAAATTTGCACCACGATCCAGTGAATCACCCTCCCGAAGTCACGCCAGCAACACTTCAGCCTCTCGCGATGATCCTCGTGGAAGTGGATCTCGTAAAGGCCTGCCTGCCATTCCGGCTAGTCCACTCGATTTGGCTGTACACAAGACGTCGGATGTCGGCCCCTCTGTACTGTCTTCATTTCAGCTGCCGACAGGGGAGAAGGAAGTGCGTTCTTCTCTACCCACTTCTTTGTCCGCCAACACCCTCGGAATTATGTCGAAGCTACCTCAGGAAC